TGAACCCAAAGTTGGCCAGCATAAGAACACTTATAAGAATAGCTCTAATCTTTATATAATTACTGCTATTACTGCTAATTCTTGTAACTCCTGTTTCTGCCTTTTTGTCAATAGGCAACCAATAAATATGTGATAACAAAATGAATACTCAAAGTATACTCAAATGAGCACAATTAAGGTGATGATTATAAAAATATTGGCATAATTAAAGCCTTTCCGTTTCCCAGCGTCTGGCTTAAAGATTTAAATGTGCAAAATGGAACACATTTCACCAAGTCTTTTTATTAATTAAGGGAAATAGATCTATTTTATAGTTAGTAAGTTAAAATGTAAACACTTTAGCTACACTTTCTAAAATTCAGCCCTCTTATTGATTAGTAAAAAGCATGTATTGAAAAGGAACAGTACTGTGGCCATTATTTGAATACACATTGAATTGAAGATAAACTATCTCTGCATAAAAGCAAAACTAAAATGCAAAGGGCTGGAGCTAAGTCTCTTCCACTAGAAACATGGACATGAGCATGGAGGGTTGTCAATGCTGAGATGGGAAATGTTACTTGTGGACCGCAGACTCCTTTCTGGACTAAGCAATGTCCACAGAGCTCCCTGAGGTTAAATAAGCCACAAGTAAGAACATCAAATTAGGAATTGAAATCATTAAAATGGGGGTGAAAACTGTATCTATCTCATTGGGCTATTAAACAAGTAATTGAGGATTAAACAAGCAATACATATAAACTATTCAGAATAGTTCTGGTATAAAGTAAACAAGCACTAGTTAAATGCTGGCTATTCTGTGTTGGGAAACCACTTTGACATGAGGAAATTGAGGTGCACAGAAATAAAGTGACTTTCCCAAACGCAGGCAGCTACTGGAGCATGCAAACTTCCTTACCACTGATCTTTATCCTGGGGATAAAGATTTTTGTACTGGGAACAACATTTTGTATTTACAATACAATAGTAAATATTGTGACAATACAAGAACATTTTAAAGGGGATAATATCCCCTTCCATAAATCCCTTGTTTGCCCATACCGACTCCAGTGCAACTACATCTTGGCTTCTAGAAGCAAAGTCTCTATGGAATTAGCAATTCCCTGGTCTCCCTCAAGGAGCAGATTAACACTGCTTAATGCTAGGAAGATCATATTCCCTTCTGATATTGGAACCTATAATTTTTCATCAATTAGAGGTTGGTTACAAAAAAAAACAATCAATTGATATTTTACTCACTGAGCCAGTAATCATTGCAGTTTTACTTTGGTGTCTCTCTTGGCAAATGATATGTTCTATTTGAAATTCACAAGAGGCCTTCAGAAAAACAAAACAACTGAAGGGCTTCCCCCCCCCCCACTCTTTCTTCTTCAGAGAATGTTTCCATTCTTAGCATTTGAAGTTTGAAGCTAATGGGCATAAACAGAAGAAAGCATAGCAATTACATCAAGTTTGCTTATAAAGAAGGATATTCCAGAAAATTCTGTGGGTTTTATCCTTCAACTTTGGTTTCATCTGAAACTGGAAAGGTGTGACCATCTCTATAGTGCAGCTCTAAAATAAGAACATCCACCACCATTGAGGAAATTTTGATTGTATACAAGGTGCTGAAGTTCATTTAATCTGTACCAAAAGTGTTAGAATGTGGGTACTTCGTTTCCATGTTATTAGGAGCTTCTGGAGGTCCTTAGTGGTTAAGGTGCTCAAGGGCAGGTCTTCAGAGAGGAATAGTTCAGGGACTTACAGCCAGATCAGTCTGATTCTTGAGACTCTATTTTTCACAGTTGGCCACTAATCTCCATAGACAAGGTCAATGCCCCAAACTCCAAAATCAGTTATTTTACTGGAAGCATCCTAGAGAGCCCTTCACATTCACAGACTTTGGAGCCACACTCATATTGGGCTCATGGCTGCTCTCTGTCCTATCTGCTGGGTGACCTCAGATGAGGAGTTTAACCTCAATTTCCTCTTTCATTAAAAAGAGAAAAGATGTATTTGAATACTAAATAATATTATGATATTATTTTGTTGACATTTTTTGCCAAGTACTTTCTTGAGACAATACAGAATGGTGGCAAGACTTCAGATAACCTGAAATAAGAACATCGGGGTTTAAATTTTGACTCTGACACTTGATAGTTCTGTGACCTGAGATAAGTCACTTGAGACCATAGTTTCCTCATCTGAAAACTGGAATATTAAATATGGCTACTTCATAGGACTAATATCATGAGTATGAAGTGCATTATAAGGTTAAAAAATTTAGTAGAGTGCCTGATACATAGTGTCACATATGCTACTATTATCACTTGTTTTTTCAGAAACATTTACTTTTGCTGATTACCAAAACTTCCCGACATAGCCTGAAATGCCTGCTTGGATTTCTGCCTAGGAATCTCTCCTGCTGGGGAATAACATAGGTACCTACATTTCACTCTGAGCCACCCTAGTCTTCCTTCTTCTGGCATTCCCAATCGCTGCTCTACCACTGGCCAATTTGGAAAGCAGTATGGAGATTCCTGGGAAAGCTGGGAATGGAACCACCATTTGACCCAGCTATTGCCCTTCTCGGACTATTCCCTGAAGACCTTAAAAGAACTACAGGGATACTGCTACATCGATGCTCATAGCAGCACAATTCACAATTGCTAGACTGTGGAACCAACCCAGATGCCCTTCAATAGATGAATGGATAAAAAAAAAGTGGCATTTATACACCATGGAGTATTACGAAGCACTAAAAAATGACAAAATCATGGAATTTGCAGGGAAATGGATGGCACTAGAGCAGATCATGCTTAGTGAAGCTAGCCAATCCCTAAAAAACAAATACCAAATGTCTTCTTTGATATAATGAGAGCAACTAAGAACAGAGCAGGGAGGAAGAGCAGGAAGAAAAGATCAACATTAAACAGATACATGAGGTGGGAGGGAAAGGGAGAGAAAAGGGAAATTGCATGGTAATGGAGGGAGACCCTCATTGTTATACAAAATTACATATAAAAGGTTGTGAGGGGAATGGGAAAATAAACRAGGASAGAAATGAATTACAGTAGATGGGGTAGAGAGAGAAGATGGGAGGGGAGGGGAGGGGGGATAGTAGRGGATAGGAAAGGTAGCAGAATACARCAGTYACTAATAKGGCATTATGTAAAAATGTGGATGTGTAACCGATGTGATTCTGCAATCTGTATTTGGGGTAAAATTGGGAGTTCATAACCCACTTGAATCTAATGTATGAAATATGATATGTCGAGAGCTTTGTAATGTTGTGAACAACCAATATAAAAGAAAAAGAATCTGCCTGGGTGTGTTTAAACAGCCAAGAAGACCTCCATGAGGTCAAATGTTTTAGTAAAGTTGTCCAATCACTGTTCAAATAGATTTCCTTGGAGAGGTAAGTGCATAACAAGACAATGGGAAAACATGTCTTTAGGCTTCCTTATCTTCCCAGGTTCATTGGCATTCACACCTCGGAGCCGGAGACTGGATTCTTCATTTCTCTAGTCTCATAATAGTTCACATTCTTCCAGTATTTTCAACTAAGTCATGACTCCCACTGGTCTCCATTGTATGGTGTGCTATAAGACGTATCTTCTGAATCCCCCAGCAGTACTCCACAACATGGTGAACACAAAGTAATGGTGGATGAATACTTAGTCATTTTATTGGTAAGCATAGATTCCATAAGAAAATTTTATACAAGGAGCATTCAAGTGCTATACTCTATATATACCTTAAGGGTTAAAGAGTCTTGTCTGACTCTGTTTCCATTATACATCATTTTCCCCCTACATTTTTGCCCAAGTCACTAATGATCATGTTGGTAATGCCAGTGGTCATCTTGCTCTATCACCGATACTTGACACAATATATTCATTTTTTTCCAGAACACTACATTCATGGTTTTCTCTCAATTCCACTGGTGGCTCCTTCTCAGTTCTTCCCAAACTTTTAATGTTAAAGTGACTTAACTTCTTTTCTATTCTCTATCCACATTCATTTCCTTGGTGATGATATCAAATCCTGTGTTTTTATATACAGTCTATTGCTAACAACTGTTGGACTCCAGACTCAACATCAACTGCCTACTTGATCTAATAGATATTTCAAAAGTCAAAATGTCTAAAAACACACTCTTCATCATCCTCTGCCCCAGCCAATGTTAATAGTATTCCTCACTTGGCATCCTTCTCTCATACCCCAAGTCTAGTTCATCATGAAATTCTGTCAACTCCACAGTTTATCCAACATGGGTGCTTCTAATGCCTCATGTTGCAGCCACTATCACCTCTCCCAAATTACTGCAAGAACCTGCTAACTGCTTCTACCTTGGTTCCTAACAATCTATTCTTGACTTGGTAGCCAGAAAGCAATCTGGTCATGTTTCTGCTCAATCCTTTGAGGGATCCCCATTTCACTCAGAATAAAATTTATCCTGAAGATGGCTTATAAGATGCTGAATTATTGGGGCTGTTATTCCTCTGACCTTATCTTCTACCTCTTCTTCCTCATATTCACTCTGATAAAGCCACACTAACTTCCTTAATGTTTCTCAAACACACAGTTGTACTTTGACCTCAGAGCCTTTGCACTGGCTATACCTTTTGCCTAGAGTGTACCTTATCTACGTATCCACATAGCTAATGTACTCCTTCAGTTTCCTCGAGTCTATACTCGATAAGGCCTATCCTGCCAACTCAGTATTCATGTCAGCTATCATTTATATTTTGTCATGTGTAATATTTATGGCCCATATCTTTGCAATCTAAACTCCATACAGGCACACATATGGGTTGATTTGGGTCACTGCTGCATTCTTGATGTTAGAACAGTTTCTGGCATGTAGAAAGTTCTTCATGTTTTTTTTCCCCCACTAGTAGGGCTTTTTATTGGTCATTATTAAAAATCTGAATTTTAAACAGATTCTTGAACCCGTGGTTCCTATCCATCAGCTTGTTCAACTTTAGCACCTGTCTCTTCTCCCATAGCTTTTCTAGAAAAATATGGAACATTTCATGAATATGGGTGTCATCCTTGCACAAGGGCCGTGCTAATCTTCTCTGCATCATTCCAATTTCATTATATGTGCTGCCGAAGTGAGCATAGAAAGTTCTTCATGTTTGCCAAACAAATTGAATGGATTAATGTGGGAAAGGCATTTTCATGATTTGACTTATAAAATGAAACCTGTAACTATGGTAGACTGCAAAAGCAGGCATTTCATTTATGAAATAGAAACTCTCAATATATCATTAGGGATCATCTTATAAATCAGGACTTGATTAACCATATCAGATATACAGACAGGAAATGGAAATCATAGTATAGTCATGCACCACTTAACAACAGTTTGGTCAATGAGACCGCACATTTGATGGTGACGTTATATCACCTAGTGACATCATAGCCATCTATGATGTTCACACCACAAAAACACTTGAAGACACAATTCCCACTTAATACCTCTATCATTAAATGAGGAGATGACTATATTTTAAAAAAACTTTTACTCAATTACACATCCACATACTGAATTGCTTTGGGTGGTTTTTATTTCATCTCATTAAAACTTTCAGATCCTTCTCATTGATCACCTGAGACAGGAAGATGCCCTAGAAGTTAAAGAGACAGAGTGAAAGGGCCATGTTGCATGAGTTGGAATCTCAACTCCATTGCTTACTACTTTAGCAGTAACTCCACCTCTTGGTAGCTCCTGTTGAAGACATTCAAGTATAAAGCACAGTAGAAAAACCTTCTGACATACAGTCCTCCCGTCCAGTTTGCAAGTTCTGATGACAGGAAGCTCATTATTTGGGTAGTCTGCTCCTTTGCTGAAGAGCATCATGTTTTAGAAAGTTCTTTATAACGATACTGAGCTAAAAAATCTAGCTTTCTGTTAGAGTCTAGCATCGATTTAAAACTGACCCTTTCAACATTGGGGAGTATAAACATTTCCACATAAGTCCCAAACAACTTATTTTTTAACTTCTATTCCCAATTGCCAGCTTTGAGTATAGTAATTGTTATGCCCTCCTTGCCTCACAAAGGCTGTGGGATTCAGAAGAAACACACTGCATATTAGTATGTCCCAGGCATGGTACCCCTGTTGCCCAGGCCCCTCACTGTATGCCCTGAGCAGGAGCTAACTGAATGCTTTTATTTAATGAGCAGGCAACACACTCTCTCTCTGCTCACAAGTAAACTGCTTAGACAGGTAGCTCATCTGGGGCTTCCTTCCCTCACTAACTCACTCTCCCACCCAACTCCCTCCCTTTTCACACCTTCTTTCTTAATCACATTGAAACATTGCCTGTAACATTTAGGGCTTTTCTAATTTAAAAAAATCATACTTTTCCAAAAATTGCACAAACTTTAAATCCTCAGCCTGCTTACCTGTTCATTCATCAATTACTGTCTCTCCATATATAATCTCAAAAATAAATTACATATTTATTTTCTGAAATCTTTGCCATTTTTCTTTTATCCTTCGCATCTGACTCACTACAAACATGTCTTTTGGCAGCATTCCTAGAAATTTGACTTTGAGATGAGGTTAACAGAATTCCAATGTGCCCAGTAAACTGGCCCACTGGTTCTAAACGGCAGAAGCAGTGAAGCTTGGTGGGAAAAGCAGAAGAACTCTGGGAGGGAGACTGCCTGGCTTTGAATCCAAGATCCAGGCTTTAAGTAATGGGGGAACTTAGATGAACCATTTAACTTCCCTGGCTTTCATTTCTTCAGTTAAAATGAGGGCAAAAATAACACCAACCTCAAAGTTTTAATGGGAATATTAAATGGGTTACTAGATATGTGGCACATAGGTCTGTGCTGAGCATAATGCCAAGGACCCAATAAATGTTAATTATCCATCTTATAATGACCACTGTTCTGGATGTGTGGGAGAAAGAAGAGAAATGTAAGAGGTGATCTCCGTGATCTCCACACACATGAAATTTGACTACAATTGAGGAAAAGAGAAATACACACACACACACACACACACACACACACACACACACAACACCTTAAAGCCATATGAGAAATTTCAAGTATCCTTAACATTTTCCTCTCCTATCATAACTGATCAAAACAATGGAATTATGCCATTCTTATTCCAATCACTGATTTAATCCTTCCTTTCCATTTCCATTGCCACAGAATCATTTCTCACCAGGATCATCCATTTCCCATTGTGACCCTCTCTCTGCCCCAATCTCTGCTCTGCATTGTTCCCTGAATAGTAATACCCCCCAAAATTTTAACTTCCTTTTAAAAATTTCCACATTTTTCCAAAGACAGAAAAATTCTTTAGCTTAGCTCATAAGGAATGTGACTTCTGACTCGAAATTTTTTACTCCAGAATCATCCTCTTGTCTGTCATCTTAATACAACTATGACAGTTACACTGACCTCTCCCTCTTCCCTAAGTAGACCAGCCCCAGAGAGGGTCCTCACCGTTGCACATGACATCCCCTTTCCATAAAAGACAAACACCTGTTCACTTGTAAAGACCAGTTTGAGTGACTTCTTTGCAATGAAGGCTTTTCCAACTCTCCTCTGTGGTTAGTAGCAATTTCCTCATTCTCTTGTCATATGTGGGTCCCCTGTTTACATGAGTGAAAAAGTATTAATGTCATAATCACCTAGTATTAGGTTTCTTACAGAGAAACTGTGATAAGAAGTTGTCAGTTATGATTATGATGATGATGATTCCTGTTGTGCAGAAATCAAGTGCACCCCAACCCTGAAACTACCACAAGACCTCAACAGAGGTGATAGAATAAATATTTGTTGAATAAACAAATAAATGAATGAAGCAAACTGAGGTATTTCTCTGTAAAAAGTATAAAATTGGAACATTATATTTGAAATGCTTTGCATTAAAAGGGGAGAGTAATCTCCATACCAAAAACTTTGGCTAATATGGTTACTACAGTTAAACATTAAACTCAAGTCTGAGCTTCCAGGAAAGAAACTGCAAGATAAAAGACAAACTATCTCATTGTCTGATTTTTTTTTTAGAAGAAGCATATCACATAATTAAGAAAGACAGACATTTTCCCAACAAACATTTCCCAAAGGACTTTTCTATGTGAATATTACATGAGCAACATTAAGTAACATGGATGTTTTCTTCTACAGTGTAAAAAAAGAAACATTATTTCTTCAGATATTTTAAATTCATTTTCAGTGAAGAAAAATCGCAGAGCAGGAACCTATTCTAGGCAGAAGCAGTGAGTAAAAGAAGGGAGACTCCCCTGGGGTTGGAAAGTGCCAGAAAGAAGGGACCACCAAGGTCCTGCATGAGAGCCTAGATGTGGATGCTGCAGGTATAGTGTCAAGGGACGAGAGAGAGTCTCACCGAGGTCCTCTCCAACCAGGAATCAGGCTGACAGCTAAATAAGGCACAGAGTAGGGGGCAGGAGGGAATCTCTGCAAAGTGTCTTGAGCAATAATGTGAAGTTATATATAGTTCAAAATAGACTTGGGACTCTTCAGTAACATTATTTGATGTCTTAAGAACTAAAGATTAAAATGAGCCAAAGCATTGTTTAAAAGTGTGTTTCTGGGATACCTCAATCATAAGATAATTCAGCTTTGGTAAGACAACATATGGGAAGTAGATAGATCTTATCAGGCTCTGGATACCACCTTCAGGTGGCCTCTCCTGCCTTCCTCAGCCCAGGCTGCCAGGGACCACCCAGTGGTCTTGTATCATGTAACCATGTGCACATCTCACATTGCTTCTGTCTCCCTTGAGCTCCTCTAGGACATGTATCAAGACTAATTCCACTTTGTTCCACCGACATAGTGCCTGACACAAAATGATCAACCACTAAATATCAATAGCAGAAAGGAAGGGAGATTGGGGATCACCTCAGGTGATTAAAAGAGTATTTGGGCGCTACAATGCCATTGACAATAAGGCCGTAGAAGAAGTGCTTATGGGGAAGGGTTATAAGACTCTTGGTATTTGCTTGGCTAGGTGGTGTCATTGAAACAGCTGGGAAAGGCTAGGATGGAAATGTGGGCATTAACAATACGCATTTGAAAATTACCTACCATAAAGTAGAAGCTGAACACTGAGAGAAGATGAATTTTCCTTTAAATTGCATCTGGATGAACAATTATCCTTTGATTAAGATCTTGTCATTTTTTCTCCCCTTCACTTGGAACAGTTACTGCAGAACCAGGATTCAATTCAAGCTCTTGGCTTTGTTTGAGGAGGGCTCAAGTCCCTCCCTTGAGACCACATTACTCACCAACTAGTTTCCTTCTGCTCCAGTGAAGCCCACTGAAGCATCCTCTGTGCATGTCTTGCTGATCACTCCCTCGGAGTATCACTCAAGCCATTGCCTTCAGGTAAATCCTTGGCTGTTCTTTCAAAACCCAAACTTAAAAAGCACAAAAAGCTATTCTAAAGCTTTTTGATTGTCCTTTGCTTTGTATGTGTCTTATCTACCCAAGCAGAACGCAAAACCCTTAAGAACAGAAGTTATAGCCTTCCCCTTTTTTTTTTATCCTGCATTGACTTTAAACATGATCATTCTGCACACTATGCCAATTAATGCTTAGGATGTGAGTACGTGGAAGACAGCTTCTTATTAAACATTTAAGGTTTCCAGATCATTGTTTCTCTACCAAATATCAGCAAAATCTCTTCTTACGAAGCCAGCACTATCCACTTCTCTCCTTCAGCCCTTGAAGCTTTCAGGTTCTAGCTCTGATCTCATCATTCTTTGAACCTTTCTTGATGGCATCCACACAGATGGCTCTGCCTCACAGCTATTTGGTTACTCCAGCCTTAAACAGTCTCCAAGTTTATGTCACTGAAGCTGCCAATGGGCAAGTCTAGAAATCCTCACTTAGCCCTGTTAACTAACCTGTCCCTTTTGAAAATCTGGAATGCCGTATGTCCTCTTCTCACATCCAGCCATCTCCCTGTCAAGCCATGAATCTGCTTCTCTCTTCTCAGTCAAGTAGATCAAGCCTCCACCCTCATTGCAGCACTTGGGGAGTCTTTCCTTTTGTGTGTGATCTTTTCATCTTCTCAGGGAGAGGATGAAAAGAGGTAACTAGCAAAGGCCCAGCTCATAGCATGTA